GACCAGCTAGGAGTTTCAAGCTGTTGGGTCTGGGACTTGGGCTACAGTCGACCACATGGGAGTTTAGTGCCTTAATGACTATGCTACTTGCTGGCCCGAGTGACATTATTCTTAAATGTAGTGCTTAGCAGTGCTGGAGTTAATTTACAAAAATGAATCTTGATTTTTCAAGATGGAATAGAGTTCTTCTTTCTTATGCTTAGCACTGGATTTTGATTTTTTTAAAATGCATTTTGATTTTTCTAGATGGAACAGGTACAGTGAGTCTTTCATGTCATTCCTCTTTGAAATGTTGGTTGCTCAGAATATAGAGAGCCCCATGGTGGTCCCAGGGAATGGGACTCCAACTTCAAAACAAGAAATGCACCTGAAAATAAATGCCCTCAGACAAGAGGACATCAAAGAAAGTTCAAAGTAGGGTGTTCTTCTAAGTCATATGATTCATAAGGCAAAAGCTTGAAAAATGCTAATATGAATTTTTAGTTAGAAATGGCCCAATTATCTACCCTGTTACAACCTCTATCTGTTGGCAAGCACTAGAGTGGCTCTTTTTTCTATTTCACTCTAAGTACACTTAATAGCATTGCTTAGTTTTTAGGTAACACTCTACATTTTCAAATCACTTTCCCCGCATTAGCTAATCGCTATTACACAGGGTCATTTTGACATCACACATGAGGACAGGCTCCATGGAAGTTTCCATTAATGCATTTTTTTTTAATGAGTCTGTGGCAAAAGAACGGTAGAGGTTGAAAGTTGGCATCTTAATGCACAAATATGATCAACTGATCTCTTTTCCCTCCTTTCAAAGTGTTATATAAGAATATGCTAGGGACTAGAGGTAGCATACTGGTCAAGGTGCTAGACTCTCGTGTGGTTGACCATGGTTTCAGTCCTGGACCTGGCAGCTTGCAAATCACAATGGGCACATGTGCATGTGTACCCAAAATCCAAAGAGAAAGCTAGAAGAGAAGGAATTGCAGTGTGATCATCCCCCCCACCCCCCCGGGAGTGATTTCTCACTTTCCCTCTCTCTGTCTCTGGCTCGCTCCAGTGAGTGCATATACCCTATGGCAAAAACCTAAAACTAAATAAGTAAATAAATATAAGTTAAAAATATCTTTCTCTATCAATTCCCAAATTAAACATGAATATTAAAAACAAGTAATTTATTTTTACCAACTTATCTCATTCCCTAGCTTGATCTTTTAAAGACCCTTCTGTCATAACCTAGCATTTCTTTACCTCAATTCAAGAAGTGAGAAAAACATTTTTTATTTATCAGATAATTTGATTTTAAGGAAATGGCTTTTCTCTCACCTTTTACTTAGGCATTCTCAGGAGCTCTGGCATTCTAGAATTTAATCAGAAACAAGTTATATCTTGGGTTAGAAATAAAGTGTGACTTGTTGAGCCTCCAGTATGTAACACTGCAAGCCATAAATGTCACTTGGTACCTACAGATTCAAATCTTAAAGCAATACTTTGAATTCAGAGCAGAAAGCATTTTTGTATATTTTTTTCTTTACAACCTCAAAACTGAAGACGAGAGTCGTCTATAATGGGGAAACACATGATGAAGTAATGTTCTGGGTAGAAATACTTTATTTTATTTTATGGGAATCATTTGATGTAATTTCCATAAATTTGAAGATACTATTACGCTGTTATGTTACATACTTTAGATCTTATAATATTGCTTCGCTGACTGCTAAGTCACAATAACCTTTAATGTTTTCAATAAGCAAAAGAATAGCTTTCATGAGGTTGCTTCCCAGATGACAACACTTGCCATCAGATTTCATATTGTTGGTTCTTCTAGTCAAGGTGCAGTCATGGTGCTTCGAGTGAAATTGGTTTCTCCCTAATGAAGCTCGAGAACTCTCCTTTATAAGAACTAGTTACTTTCTGGGTTCTTCCCTTTCTCCTTTCTTCTCTTCTCCCCTTCCTTGCCACTCTCCCTTGCTTCCTTCCATTTTTTCTTTCTTTTTCTTTTCTTTTCTTTTTTTTTCAAAAAGGAAAAGCAGGAGATGAGAGAAAAGTTCCGTGAGAGAGCAATAGGTATGTAGGAATACTGCTTTATGTGGATAAGTGATGATAAGCAAGTGAAGGAAGAAATCAGGCAATGGAAGACTCGTGATGACATGGGGCTTGATCAGGAATTGAGAGTATGAGGCACAAAAGCATATTTGGTAACTGGAAGAACTTCAAATCTGGATCTGGCATCTAGGTGGTTGAGTGATTTAGTAGAAAAGAAGAAGGCAGTAACACGGGAGAAGGAAGCTCAGAGCCAAGCAGGACTGGGTTCAGTCTCATCTCCCCTTCTAAGTAACTTCATGCCCTTGGCAAAGTTGGCTTTCCAACTCTCTATCTCTTCATTAGTAAATTTGAAATAACTTACCCACTGATGATTCTTACAGGGTGAAAGTACCTGATATGACCCTTGGTACATGAGAGGGATTTGGTAAATTAGTCTAATAATTATTTAAAGTAATCCATCAATCAAGGAGAAATTACAGAAGGGAGGACAAGTGAGAAATATACCACCCAGGCCAATTCAAGGCAGGGTAGAGAAAGAGTCCACTCTGGCCTTTGGTAGTAATTCCGTGTTTCACAACACACTTCACTATGAATTATTCTGTGGGCTTGATCCTTTATGAGGGAGCTTTGCCTTGGTTTCCTTTCAGAATGTCTTGCATCCTAAGCCTACCTTATTTCTTAGAAATTGTGTACAAGCATTAAACATACTCCTTTTATATTAAAGAAGTAGAAGCTCAAAAGAGGAGGTTGATGATGCTGTGTATAGTATTCTCAACTTGCTGGTATGTGACATATATCATGTTGGGTAAAAATCTCTTTACAATCTAAATGATGTATTGTGATTGAATGTATAAATAATAATAAAAATGAAAAATAAAAGAGGAGCCTACAGTGGGTGCTGACTAACACAAAGGGTATATGGATCAGTAATAGACATTTTAGGAATCACTTGAGAAAGCAGGTGGAGAATGGTTTATCACCTGAGTTCCTCAGATCTGTCATGGTTTAGCTTTATGAATTGAAATGGGAAGGTTCTTAAAATTCTGATATTTTGTACAAAATTTTGCACACTTTTCTTATGGAAAGGATCTAAAGAAAGCTTTTGCCAGATCCTTAAAGAGGTGTTGGGCCTCCCAAAGTTGTAATATGATGGCCATACTCTGTCACCTTGCTACTTTAAGTTTGGACCTCTGAGAAACAACTCCTGGGCATGTATAAGAAATGCAGGATCTTGGGTGTACTGAATGAGAATCTAGGTTTTAACACTCACTTCCGGGGGGTTCATATTATATAATATTATATCATACTAATCTCAGAGCTACTCTTAGGAGTCTAGATCCAAGTTTAACAACAGCTGACTGTTTGACTTTGGGCAAATCTTTGTATCTGTGTAGGTGAGTCTCTCTTTATCTGTAAGATAAAAATAGTAGACATAGATTATTTTACAGAGAAGGAAATAGATTAGCACTCTTTCTGCCTTAAATTCTAGAGTCTATCTTTTATTTTCCACACAAGTGTTTTACATGCTATTTCATCTAGTGAAATGCTAAGGATCCACTGAGAATTCCCCCTCAAGAGTGTCACCCTTGGTTCTATATAAGTAGATCATAAATATTCCCTTTTTTAAAGAATTATTTTAAGTTTATTTATTCGTTTATTTTAATTTGACCTGAGAGGAACAGAGAGAGAGAAAGTGAGAAAGCAATCTACCAGGTCTGGGACTTGAACCGCAGTCAGCCATGTGGGAGTCCAGCACTCTTAACCACCATGCTACCTGCCAGCCCCAATCAGAAATATTTCTAAAAGCCCTTCTATGAAAGCAACTTTCCCTAAATTATATGAAATAAAAATATCCTTCTTTATGTGAGACAAGAATTGATCTTGAGGCAGAATCAGAAATCTTCCAGCTTTGAGCACAAATCATTGTTTGAAGAAAATGCAAAAGAGAACTTCCCCCTGACTGCGAGAGCTTGGTGGAGTGAAGCTGGTCTCAGAGCAGCTGTGGCTTTTGGAGACTGTGAGTCTGACAGGAATGGAAAGGCTTTCCCAACAAAGGAAGCACGACTGATCCTCACTTGGGAAGTGGGATTTTGCTCTCCGGTGTCTGGCACTGGATTATCAGGAACATAGGGACAGCCATTTTTGACCCGAGCCTCTAGCTGTATTTGTGAATCTCGGTAGGTAGTTGATTCCTGGCCCTTCTACTCTCCGATAGTCTAGACCAGTTAAAATTTAAACAAACTATTGTTTGGGCATTAGCTGGACCTTTGGGGAGCAGCAGATGGTTGGTAAGCGCCCGTTTTCCTGCTCAGGCCCCGGGGAAAGATACAGAAATTTGGCCAATTTCTCATCTTATGTCTCCAGAATTCCATATGATTATTGTGATTAATATGGTGCACTTCTATGTATTCAAATTAGGGGAAAAATAATCGAGGGATCTCTAGAGTGGTAGGAAAGTCTGAAAGCAGATTTTACTAAAATTTTTTTTCTATTTTCATAGATTTTTGCTATAGGGTGTGTGTGCTTGCTGGAGGGACAGAGAAAGGCAGAGGGACAGAAAGTAAGGGATCACCCCTCCAAGGGGGATGGCCACACTGCAGTCCCTGTCCCTCCAGTCTCCTCTGGGGATTTTAGGTATGCATGCACATGCACCTGGTTTGAATTTTTTAAGCTGCTGAGTCCAGGACTTGAACCATGATTGCATATATGGGAATCCTCTGATATAACTGCTGTGCTATCTGCTAGCCCTTAACTGTAATTTTTCTCAGCAAATTTTGGTGGGAGGTGGTAGATGGGATTAGAGAGGTGTTTTCTAAGTGTCCAGTAGTTTCTGTTTTTAGTTTCCTGTTGTATCATTATAATCTGAGTTTAAATTTTTAGCTTTGCTGATCAGTTCTGTTTTGCTAATATTTTGTGAAACATCAACTAAAATTATGTTCTTCTTTTAAATGTTTTCTCAGTTACTTACAATGCATCTTTAGATGCTATCATTTCCAGTACAACCAGTAATACAAATACCGTGGTGTTGGCTTGGAGAGAGAAATCAAAAAAGCATCTTACAATGACATCCTTCAACATTGCCCAGGGCATTCATGCTTTTGATTACCACTCTCAGCTCAATTTAATTGGTATGTAAAATAAATCATGATAACTATGAGGGCCTCATAAATAGTCTGGGATGCATATTTGTATGCATGGAGCCTCTTCACCTTGTTGCTTTATTGCCAGAGAGACCAACTTGAGCAACTCACATTTTATTGCCTGAGAATGTCTGATAATGATGCATGATGATGTGTGGTGTGTATGAAACTACACAACTACATTGGGTGAAAACATGAGAATGTGCCCCAATGCTTTAATGAGCCTCTTTATTGGAATAAGTGAAGGCTACAAAACGACACAGAGAAGAAAGATGGTTTATGCAGCGTCTACCATTTTGCCATATCCCTGACACTAGCAAATGCCCCACCCAACAGTCACTTCATTCTCACTGCTGCTGTCCCTGCATACGCACACTCACACCACTCACTCCAGAACTGCAAAACTTAGAACGCATTTCAATTCCTTCTCAGAATATAATTTGTAACAATTTTTGAAAATTTCTGATGATCTTAGCTTTACTTTATAAAAGGCCATTTCTTTGGCTATGAAAGGGCTTATTTTAGCTAAGGGCATGTAAAGGTTTTCAGGCATTAACTAAATAAAATATTTAGATATTCCAAAAGCCAATCATTTGACACATATGACATTCTTTCAAACAATATCTCTTTATTTATATTAAGAGATTTTTGCTCTAGGGCATGTGTGCTCACCAGAGACATAGAGAAAAACAGAGAGACAGAAAGAGAGAAATCACCTCCACCCCCCAAGAGGGGATGGCCACATCCTTTCTCCTCCATTCTTGATCTCTTCTCTTCCATTCTCCTGTTGGGATTTTGGGCATGCATACACACATGCCTTTCGTAAGTTTCAAGCCACCAGGTCTGGAACTTGAACCATGGTCAGCTATGTGGGAGTCCAACACTTTAACCACTATGCCACCTGCTGACTGCTCAAACAATATTTAAAAATGAGGTGTAGACGTATTATTGAAAAATGAGTAGGAGGATAAAAGAAAACACATGTGGCCAACAGAACAGATCGTCTCAGCTCTTATTCAATAGTTATCATTCCTGTAAGGAGTGTTGTTACTAGCTAAGGAATGGATCCCTAAAGTTTCCAACAAAATTAGCTGTGAATCATGGTACAGGATCCCTTAATATGAACTTGGGCATGTGCCAATAGCAAGCTTAGAGAAAGTTGGAAGTGGGATGGAAGTTGGTAAATCAGTTGACAAGGACTTCAGTATCAAACATTTAATTCATTGATTGGTTAGCTGTGTCAATCTCTGTATACTAATTACTACTCTCTACCTGCCGTAGTGCTGGGAGAATAAGGGTGGGTAATTCCATTGTAGTCTCTAAACCAGGAAACAACAGAGGGGCCACGCGGAGTTCCACAGACCTGAGCAAGCACTGTTCTTCCTGCTCTTGAGTGTGCCTTGAATATAAACAATTTGTGTTCAAATAGACCTTATTCCATCCATGAAGCAAGACCAAAGTTTATTTTTGTTTCTTGTTTGCTTGTACATACTTGATTATTTACATGGCAATGAAAATAAGTTGTTTCCTTATATTTTTAATTCACTTAGAAACCTTCAATATTTTTTAGTTCTTTCTTGCTCCTGGGGTAATCTTAACACTGTCTACATTCCTAGGCTGTGCTGGCAGGATAGGGAAACACAGGAACCAGGAGGAAGGATTCTATTGCCTCTTGACTGGGCTGCTGGTTGGTTCCTAAATGGGACTGTATTTCCTTCTACCACATGCATACCTTGTCTTCCCCTAGGCAAATTCCTTTCCTCTACTCCCTCCATTTCAACTCTCTGTTGTCCAAACTCATGCCCTATTAGCCTGGTCTAGTTGGGGCACAGCAAGATTTTAACATAGGGTGAATTAGTGTTCACCAGCAGGCATGTATCAGATGCCTGATGCTGCCACTAGAGTCTAGTGGTTAAGGGAGGTGAATCCCACATGGCCTACTGCAGTTGGAACCCCAGCCAGAGAGCCTGAAAACCATTCCAGACACTTGTGCTTGTGTGCCCGAAATCCCAACAGGATTGGGAAATGGAGAAGAAAGAATTACAGTGGGTCCATGCCCCATTTGGGAGGTAGTTTTTCTCTCTCCTTTTCTCTTTGTCTCTCTTTGGCATTAAAAAAGAAGTAAAGGCATTTATCAATGTAGAGATATGTTATAAAATTTCAAAAGGAAAATACTGTGGGTTATTCATGCTACTAAGAACATTTTTTTTTCTTTCTAATTTTGATTAGCAACTGCTGGCATTGACAATAAAGTTTGCCTTTGGAATCCCTATGTTGTCTCTAAGCCAGTTGGTGTCCTTTGGGGTCACTCAGCCAGTGTAATAGCTGTCCAATTCTTTTCTGAAAGGAAACAACTTTTCAGCTTCTCTAAAGATAAAGTAAGTAACATTGTGAATTTAATTTATTAATTTTACCTCCCCCATTTCTACCTAAACCTACCCTGGGTCCTGAATTTCTCTGAGAGATGGTGTTGAGTTTTTAAATAAACCAGTTGACTATTATGTCTTTAGAAATCTATGTTTGAAAACGATGTTGATCGATGGGTACCTAACAATAGTTTTGGGCAACTAGCCAAAATGTTTCATTTTTTTCTCTTCAAACCATGTATTCATGGACTTAATCTTTATTATTGGATTCTCAGTGTGTCATATCTTAAGAACCTTTAAAATCCTTTTAATTAAATAGGGAAAAAATGAGGATGAGGAAATGTTCCTTTGATAAGATGATGAAAAGGCACAATTAGCTATTATTGTTTTGATATGTAAGAGATTCACTAAATTAGAAATAGAAGTTAATATGAGAAATATTAAGAACATTTCAGTTAAGTATATCAGTCCAATTCTATTTGATGAAATGAAACAGTAAGGAATTTTAAATAGGGTATTAAAAACATGGTACTAAAGCCAGATAATCTAGGGTGAATCCTTACTACACGATGTACTACTTAAATTCATCTAGGCAAAGCTTAAAATATAAGATTGCTTTTTCTCTAAAATTTACAATGACCTAATTCATGATTTAAAGATTCTGTTAACATATCAGAGATTTCAAGACCTTGGTTATGAAGAGACAGGTGGATGATAAGCTTATTGGATAGTCTCTGAGACTCTTATAGTAAATCTAAATTTTTGTTCTATGTCAAAGTGATTGATCTATCTATATAATAGAAATTTATCTTGGACTCCTTAGCTCTCTTCCACTCATAAGTCTTGACTGTGTGCATCTTCTCCCTTTCACTTAAAAGTCTTTTGATTATATCATCAAAACGTATTTATCAGTCTCACCTCTCCATCTCTGCTGCCACTGTTTTATTTAAAACCTTACCTTTTTCCCCAAAAACATGGCAAAGGATTCCTCCCATCTTCCTACTTTTAGGCACAGAAATGGCATTGAGTTTTGAAATATACTGATTAACTATTATGTCTTTGGAAATCTGTGATTCCAATTTGCCCTCCACTCTGCTGATTAAGTTGTTCACAAAAAATTCTTCAACTCTTCTATCTTCCATCTAGCAACTCAAAAATTCTTAGACTTTTATGTAAAGGCCACCCCCTTTCAATCAGCCCCATTTCATTGTTCTGTTTTTCTCTTTCATTTATTTAATATTCTAGCCTTATCAAAACATTGGCTTTTCTGAACTGCCCTTGCAGGATTAATAGTTTTGCAACATGATTTTCCTCCTTCCATGTATTGGCTGATGCCCGTTTGTTATAAAGGTGTTGGACTTTCTGGAGTCTCTCATGTGGACCAACGTGTTTCTTTCTGTGCTCTCCATTTTTTTTTTTTTTGGTCCCTCATTAGAGCACGTTTCATGCAGTGATGAAATCGTTAGTTTGCTTTTTTAAGAAGGGTCAGTATCCTTTCAGTTTGTATTGGTGTTTACCTCAGTGCTTGGAGCTTTGTAGTGTTTATTCGGTTATTATTTGTTGGCAACCTGAAGTGAAGACACATTATTGTGAGTCTAAAATTCTAAAGAAACTCATGGTGGAAGTTTTATGATGCCCAGTTACTTACGGTGTTTTTAGTTTTGTTTTTTTTTTTAGCACTTTGTTGTAACTTTTATTATTGAATTTAACACAATCTGACTTGTATACATGGGCATTGTATGTGAACCTTTACACACACACATATATATATTTATATGAATTATATATATATAATATATTAATAGATTTTGAAGCTTAAAGGCAAAGATTACTCATTACTCATTGAATTTGATTTTGTTTTTCTGAACCTAGAAAATGTTAATGTTATCTTAAAATATTAAACACACTTGAACATAATATATGAAATATTGTAACTGTTAACTGAATGATAATATTCATGAGGTTAGGGACCATGTCTTTTTTGGATTGTGTACATACGTACTAGGTCTTCAACATGTCAGTTACATAAATAAATCTTTTTAAAACAATTATTTGTTTAATTTTATTTATTATTATTATTTTTAATTAATTAATTTTAAACCTTTAATCACTGTGTATCATTACAAATGTATTCATTACCAAATGACTTTTCCCATCATGGATATATTGTTTCAGTCAACGATGTTACTACACACTTTATTATTATTATTTACTTTGACCAGAATGAGAGAGAGAGAGGAAGAGAGAGGGGCAGTGAGAAAACAAGCCACCATGTCACCATGTCTGGGACTCAAATCATAGTTGGCCATATGGAAGTTTAGCACCTTAACTATCATGTCTCCTGCAAGGCCCAAATAAATATATCTTTATCAAAGATAAAAATGAATCAAATATCAGATATTTTATCATTTCAAAGTTTCTTGAAAGGTTTTATAACTTTGAAAACAAGTGAAAAAAAAGAGTCCTTGGAGTCAGAATTGATGATGTGCAGTTATCAGTGTTAACACGACCTGGCCTCATTTCATCTTTCTCTTTTTCCTTTGATTTCTAAACCATCACATTGTAATAAAGCTTGTCATGCCGTCTTTCACGTTAGTCTAAATCCATTTCACTGTGAGAAATACGGGATAATCTCAGCCTTTATGTCTTTACAGCACTTAACGGGGCTTTCTGCTACCATGTTGAGCGTTTGTGTTATTGCCATGAAATTCTTTTGGATGTATTACATGACTGGGGCTAAGTTAGGAAACAGAGAAAATTAAAAAGCATACTTTTTTTCCAAAGAACTTTGATTGAACCATGTTTTGGTCAATATGTGGCTAAATTAAAAAAGAGTGCAGATCAAAACAACTTAAATCTAAATGATTTTCTCCAAAATTAGCTGAGAGTTCTTTTCTCTTTTGGAAGGCTGCTCAGTTGCCCCTTTCTAGTGATGATTCAGCAGTAAGTCAACCCCTGTAGAATTTGGTATCACACTGAATAAGAGTCCCATGGTGTCTTACTTTGGACTCCTGAACTGTTTCTCTTGATGACAGCCATTGCTGGCATGGCTACGCTGGGGCCAGTAAGTCAGTCATTTGGAAATGAAGTCACCACAGGGAATGAAATGATCTCCAAAACCGATGAGAAATCTCTCTGTTGGGGATTGACATTCTGACCAGTGAACCTAATTTAGTTTTTCTGCTGTTCCTAACTGGTGTTCTCTCCTGGGTGACTAATCCTGATTTGGCCACCAGAATCAGATCAGTTTGTAACTTAATGCTTTATCTGAGGATTTGCTTTTTCCCAGCATCTGACTTCTCTGTGGCAGACCTGTGCTTGGTAAAAATACAAAACCAGACTCTGGTTGGTGACTACATCCTGTGCACGTGTCTTCTTTCCCACTCTCCAAACCATTTCCCCCATGCGATACTTCGTCTACCCATCCATAGGCAAAGCATTCTCATTTTATTGAAGCGCCATAAGTGAATGAATGAATGCACTCTCATAAAAATTACAAATGCCCAAGAAGCATGTAATGAGAAAGTGATTATTCATCATCCTCATATCATCCTCATTTCTACTTTAAATCAACCACTCTCCCTCAAAATAACTATTATTAACTCTTAATGTACATTGTCTAATGTGTTTTTATACACTTTATATGTATTATAATGTACTGTTCTATATGATATAGGGTTTATATTTTTATATAGGTATCATCCTATCTATGTGTACAAATACAGGGTGGTTTTGTTAATGTAAATGTATCATATAAAACATTTTCGTGCAACTTGTTTTTCCCTAATTGAAATCTCTTGGAGATCATTCTTCCCTTCCTTCCTTCTTTCCTTCCTTCCATTTCTATTTCTCTCTACCTCCTTTCCTCTCTTCAATCCTTCCTTCCTTCTTTTCAATTGACACAGGGCACTTTTAGAAAGAGAAAGAGGTAGAAAATAACCCCCAGTGGGGAGTGGTCATGCCATTTCTCTGACTGGTTGGGATTGGGGGCATGCATGCACATATGCCTGACATGTTTTTCACACTAGAAAGGCTGATATGAAATGTATGGATGGCCATATTTTATTTTCAATAACCTATTTATTAAAAGAGATATTGTTTCTAAGTTTTTACCTTTATTAACTATGATACACACGTACTTATATGTTTGTTTTAAGATCTCGTAAGTTAATTGTTTTTCTGATAAGTTCCTAAAAGTGATGTATTAAATTCACAGACATGTGCTTCCACAGAGATCTTCATGCATATTGCCTTTTTCTTTTCTTTTGTTTTGTGTTTGCTATAGGGCGTGTGTGCTTGCCAGAGACAAAGAGGGAGAGAGAAGGAGAGAGAGGAAGTGAGAAATCATCCCCGAGAAGGGTTGGCCACACCTCAGTACCTTCTCTTTCTCTTATCCTCTAGGATTTTGGAGACTCATGCATATAGACCTGCTGTGATTTTCCAAGTCTCCAGGATCTGAATTTGAATCCTTCAGTCAGTCATATGGCACCCAGCCACCTTAACCTCCACAACACCTGCTGGCCCACAAATGACCTATTTCAATGAAGAAATGTACCAGTTGGCATACTCATCCATGGCAATATAAATGTGCCTGTTTCTCCATACACTTGTCAACTCTGGAAAATGAAAACACATCTTTTTTTCATTTTCAGTGGAAACTGAAAGCTATCAGTGTGTTCTCTCTCTCTCTCTCTTTTTTAAACCTAAATGTGAAAATGAATTTCTTTTAAAAAATATTATTAGCTATTGGGACCAGCGGTTAGCGTAATGGCTATGTTGCCAGACTCCCATATAGTCAACTGTAGTTCAAGTCCTGGACCCAGTAGCTTAAATTCATGTTGGATGCATATGTGTGCTTGCCCAAGATCCTAAGAGGAGAATGGAGGAGAAGGGATTGCTATTAACTAATAATATCTTTTTTTTTGTGTGTGCATTACTTGAATATACTTCATCAATTTGAAAAAACAAAACACTTAACTCTCTTTTCCTTACTGATTTGAAAAAAAAATTGA